ATGTTGTCAACACCTTATTTTGTTTAAAAGTTTAAAACTCAGTTAGCACTATGATGTATAGCATATAGATATATCTGCTTTCTTCGGATATCTTGATAACCCGCCAGTAATTTAATTTAAAACTCTGCGGGAAAGGTGATATACATCAGCAGGGGGTCTTTAAAAACAATCGACAAAACCTTATCCCACTCAAACAAAAAGACAGTCAAGTAACTTAAGAAAACTTTATGCGAACAAGATATCTATTTACTAAAAACTCACAAAGAATTCAAAGAGAAGCCATTAGCATTTGAATGATATAATAGCGTGGTATTCTATTGTGTCCTGCGGTAAAATGACTCACAAATTTGTTTATTAACAGTAGTGGAATTTTATTAAAAGGCCAAACGATTCGTTCCTTTGGATTTAATTGGAATTGAACATTTTCTTATAGCCGCATTGATATGCTGAACAATTATATAAACAAATCTTACTATAAAAAGATAGTTTCATTTTTGGTTCGAATTCTCTCAAAAAAAACCTCGTTTGCACTGTAAAATCTGCTTGAATCTTTTCCTAAACTGCCTGCTCATCACTCCATAAATAACAGGATTGCAGGCAGAATTTAGCATGGCAAGCCACGTGGTCACAGCAAAGAATTCATCAGGCCACGAACAGTCTTCAAAAAGAAAACAAAATATTCCTATAAAGTGAGGTGTCCAACACAACACGAACGTCCCCACTACTGTCAGTAAAGTTTTTGCAGCTTTGGTTTCGCGACGCATTTTCGCCCGAGCTTGAACATCTCTCTTTTTCCGAAGTTTTACGAGTGCAAGTGACGATTTACTAAACGCTCTGAACGCGTTAGGACCAGCAAAATTGGCGAGACTAGCGAAGGACGCCGTAGAAAACTTCTTTTTACGTGTCGCGGAAGGGTTTCTTTCGATTGTTTGCGATGCCGAGATACCGCCTGTTGGAGCCTCTTTCGTTGAATAAGCAAACGAAGATTGACAGGAGAATCGAGAAACAACCACAGGAATATGAAACAGTTTGTTATCAGCTAATTCACTCCCAGCGTGCTGTCCCTGGACTTGTGCATTCCCCTCAGTTGAGAGACAATTTGATTGGTTAACCATGTTATCTTGCGCAAAGTTATCTTCTTTCTTCGCGGCTGTTTCAATAGCAAAAGAAGGGTATTCGTCAACACACTTTGCGTCATCGTGCTTTGTCGATTCGTTTACATTTTGGTTGTTATTGTTTAAACTTCCTAATGCCGCACGAGGTTGCATAATAGATTCTATTTCCTCTTTCCTTTTCACAGTTTCAATAGGCGGTAAATAAATGGCTCCAGTTTTCCTGCGCGGGGCGATGTTATTTGATTTGGAAAATGGCGTATTCACGTCTGAAGATACAGGTGCAGGTGGAGTAGATGAGGATTTGTTCTCGAGAAGTTCTTTCGGACCCAAAACTGATTCTTGTAAGCTTCCACAACTGCTATTAAAAACACTCTCTCCATCTACGCTTTCATAAGCACTAGACGTTCTCCTGGGTTCCTTTCTAGTAGGCAGTTCATTCGGTTTCAAATAAGTTCTCGAGCCCCCGACGTTGATATCCTCGCAACCAGAATCCTTCGAAGGTTGATCAGTTGTGTTTACATTTTCAGTTGACAATGCTCCTAATTCTTTTCGTTCATAAAAAACTGCGAACGATGTTTGGGGACCTGGTAACATTTTATCGTCATACACATCGCTGTTTAGGGAAATGTCACTTTTGCTCATGTCTAGTTCTTTAACGGAACATCCAGTCAGAAGCTCGGAGTTCAAGCGAGCCCGACTGCCGGCCGAATACTCGTTCACACTCGGGTCTTCCCGTGCTTCAATTTCACCAGTGACTGGAACTATTTTTCTGGATTGTTTTCTGGCTGTGCGGAAAATTCTTAAATAGGTTACCATCATGACCCCGAGCGGTAGGAAAAAACAAACCGAAAAGAGGAATAAGGTAAAAGAAATGCTGTATTCCCACCGCACTGTGCAGATGGATTCAGAGCGTATGAAGGTGTATTGTGTCCAGTTGGTCAGAGGAAGGCAAGCCATAAGTAGCGCATGGAACCAAATATAAACGATCATACCAGCAGCGACTTTGTTCGTTATCCAGGTTGCGTACTTGAAAGGGTAGAGAATTGCACAATAGCGATCAACTGACACGACGGCGAGGGTTAGTATCGAAGCAATACAAAACAAAGAGTTAGCCATGCCATTTACCTTACACCAGGTGTCTCCGAAAACCCACTCGTACTTGATAGACGAGGCCAGGGTAAACGGCATTCCGATAATCGACAAAAGTAGATCCGCGCAGGCAAGATTGATTATGAACGCGTTCGTAATTGTTTGTAGAGTCTTGTCAATGTAGATGGCGGCCAGAATCAGCAGATTGCCTCCCACAGCAACAAGCATTATTACAACCATGGAAGCAGCTTGTAGGAAAACGGCAGCGTTGGACCGCGGATCCAAAGAAGACACATCCGTAACAGATTTGGGAAGAGTCCCATTTAGTGAATCGTCCCCCATATTGTACCCTTCTCGGGTATAAACATACTTCAATATGTTTGAAGCAAGAGCTTACTTGTAGCCATCATTCACGCTTGAACGGAAATCGCATATAACACAAAGAATGCAACTAACTCCAATACATAAACATGAGCGATGAGCTTTTGCTGGGTTAATTAATTGCGCCAAGTGCAGTGTGACTGAAATAGCGTCAATTCTGTTGGCAGAGGAGCTACGCTTATTGATTCCACAATCATGTAACGTTAAATGGTCGAATCCAGCAACTGTCGTTTTTGAAGACACGAGCACAGTTTAAGTATGGAAAACATTAAGGTCAGATTACGCCCCCATGTCAGTTTTTGGACAAAGCCACTACTTAATTATGGATTCAGAAAATGTTTTCATATAATTCAGAAATATGTATTTCTTTTTTGCCTCAATAAGATAAATCAGAGTTTTAAAACTAACGAGCCCAAGACCTTTTGCACCTACAGGAGTTGGTTACTGTGTTGTGAAATTAACACTTGTTCTTCGAGCGAAAAGGCTTATTTTGAATGAAGTAAAACCTATAAACTATAGAGTCTTAAAGTACGTGTTAATTAACCTGTCAGTCCAGATCTCAAGATATCAATTCTCCTTACTGACTGACCCAGGTTTTAATGTTTACCGTGAGGATTTAGTGGCACATGAAAATAAAACAAAAAGCTACAAAATTAAGCGTACCCTGATGACGGAATTCTCTCTATATAATGTATATTGATCTACAAACGGGCCAAACGTCGAGTTCAACCATTCTCATTAGCTTGATACTCTATTACATAATCACACTGGGAGACGCAAGTCCTTCAGATATTGGATTTTATAGTCTTGACTCGAACGCAATTTGTCAGACAGTAAGGTTGGCCGTACGCTTTTACAATCAATTATGTCGTGTTTAGTATGCTTTCTTAATCCGCCAAACTGCGTCAATTTGTTTTCAGATTTAAAAGGATTGTTTGCTGTCATATTTGACAACTGCGTCTAGTGGCAGCTAGTCAGCGGCCATTGTAATTCACTGTTTTTTTTTTGTTTTTCTTTCCTCGAACGTTTTTAAAAGAAAATTCGGTAAAATCTGAACATGTTTCATCGCAACCTTGATCAAGTACAACTTTTCAATTTCACTACGAGGGAATTTCGTTAAAAAAATAATTTTTACACTGTCGGAATGCGTGTGCTTCAGACTGAACTAACACGCAACTACAAAAATGCTTTCTGGGCAATATTCTTGGAGATTATTTAATTGTAAAACAGGAAAGATATTTCAAGAGAGACATGGTCTCACGTAACACCATTCTTGGTTACCGATAGAGCACGGCAATGGAAGATCTCAAAGGATTACTTTGTTTTGTTTTAAAATAATACATTATTTATCAAGGAGACAAAAGTTCCACTATTCCTGCTGCTTGTCTGATAAGATTCTCTCTCCCTCGAGTGAAAATTGTATTAAATATCGAATATATATAAAAAAATAAATAAAAATAAATTATTTTATTTCAATTTTATGTAAAAATCATTAAGTAACCAGCCATGCACACTTAACACATGCAGGTGCAATAATTTTACAACAAACACTCTTATTTTTTTAAAAATAAATTGATAATATCATCTGTCAAAGTGACTATAGGTGTTACTAGGTATTGTGTTGGGCTTATGACATGAGTGCGTAATAACGTGTTAAAGACTGTTCTTCAGGCTCAACAGCTTTTCTTAACACCTAATTATTTTCTGAAAAGCATCAACACAAAGAAAGTCATTGGATACCTTTTGGCTGACTTTCGTCCGGGTGGGAATGGATCATTTCTGATTAAGCTTCCATAGTCATCCATCAGTTGATGAATCACTGCCAAATTGTACAAAAAAATATATTGATTTTTAGTTCCTTTCAAGACCCTTCTGTTACAACAATCGCAATAGTTTATTTGTACCTTACTCAAATTAATAAAGTATTTATATATGCTGTATTTCACAGAAATTTATAAGGTTCAGGGTACCAAAATAACTAAATGAAACTAAGCTGGTTAGGTGCCCATTAAATAATGCAAAACAATGCCGGTAAGNCCCTAGGCAATAGCAGGGTATTTGCTCAAGTCTTAATCCTGGAGGTGCGGCATTTTAAGTTTTATCATTGCCCAGGTGTCAGGCATTTGCCTACCCCTGGAACAAACCCAGAACATTTGATACCCGAGTCAGACGAATGTTGTGTTCTTAATTATTTATTTATTTAAAGAAAAGCACAAATTTTCTCCAAAAATTTCTTTTTCTTCATAATTCTGTCCAACTGACCATTCTTAGCCTCTAACGAGCAAAATTTGGCTCGATGAAGGAATTCATACATTTTTGGTTAATCGCCTGTTGATTAAATACGGATCGTTTATGACTCATATAATATACGAATTCCAAAGCTATCTGAGATGATCAATTTCCTAAAAATCTTTTACATTTTTTGTTTGGTAAAAAAGGATCATACGTCTTAATTCTTCAATGATCACGATACCATGTGATACGTACGTTGTATTTCAGCATTTTGCACTAATGAACTATGCGTGCCAAAGCAGAATATCAATGGCCTATAATGCAGGACTAGTATATGTTGAACCCAATAATGAACAGGCCCTTTTTCAGGAATATGGCTTTTTTTCATATGAAGCGTTAAATTTTTATGAGTGCTTCTTCTCCTCAGGAAAAGATAGTAAATTATTTGTTGATAGTTAGAAACATCTTTATAAAGGTATTACCATTGAATGGTCTTGTTTCCCTAATGATATCGAAACATACTTTTCTGAAGAAAATTAGTCCGTCACATGAAGGGCCACTTCGACATTTTAGGAACTGCACGCAAGTCAGGTCAAGAATGTTTAGTTAAAAAGTAAACGGTGAAGAAGATCGCTAAATATCTTATAGATTCAAATTCGCACACTGCAAAAAAGGTAATTACTCAACATAACAACGTCATGAGTACATTGATGAAAAATTTTCATAAGGTTTGAAGACAAAAGATTACTTGTTCACATATTCTATTGTTCTCCCATTCTCAAAAAGTCATTGATAAACAAAATGATTAACTTGAGCGGCGAAAATCAACTACACAAATCCCTGGTGGGTCTGCACAAAGCGTACCATTGGCTTGCGTTTTAATATCAACTAAGTCTTTGAAATGTTGTTGAATTTTTCCTTATTGGAGGCTTTCACACTGATATTGTAATTTTGATCTCGACCATGGTTGAATTACACGACTGTACTTGCCAATGTAAGTAACGCTTATAACAAATATGACACAGGTGGTACTAGGGTTCCCGCAAAATCCATTTGGTGCCGTTAAGACAAAAGGTAACCCCAAGGTTTTTGCGCTCCCTTCTTGCTCGAAAGGTTCTGAGTTGCAGCCAGTATTAGACGCACAGGAGCATAGCAAAGCTGAACTTGTTTTACTTCAAGCAAAGAAGCATGATGTTCACTGGTTGAGTAAACTGTCGCCTTATTTTAGAAGTTCCGTTTCCAAAGAGCTGCTGAAGGCAAACTTGTCTTCGAACGAAAATCTGCCATCTCTTTGCCACTCGTGTAATCAGACGCTGGATCGCCGTCACGAGCAAACGATTTCATTTAATAGAATAAAGCTTAAAAGAAGAGCTATTCCAAACGTCAAAGGCGAACACAAAGAAGGCGACATGCATGAGCACTTGACAACTAGCAGCCCATGGAAATACAATTACAGAGAGCAACATCTTACATCTCAAAATGGTACGAGTTGTACACCTTATCAACGCTACGAGAAAGCTCAGTCTTTCGCGGAGCTCAACAAGCAATGTTTTACGCGTTCGTCGCCACTTATTCTTCCAGAGGTAATAAAAATTACTCCACGGAAAAAGACAACTCCTCCACGACAGAAAGTCCACAGAGTACATGACGCCGGACTAGTCCCGCCTCCCACACCAACTATTAGGTATTTACGCGATTTATCGCCCGAACTGAGAAGTCTTTTCGTGATAAGGATGGCGTCAGGTTAGTCGCCACTATTGCAGCCAAATGCCAGGACTGAGGCCTAAGCTAAGGGGTCTTGGTGATTTTACATTAAGTGAGCTCAATTTGTGATAAATAGTAACAAAATTTGCTTGTGATATTTGGCTACAAACGTTTGTAAGTACTTCGTGCATAACAATACAACAGTAAGGCAGACATGTTACTACATGTTACTACCTCTCACGTTAAGCAAGCTGGTCAGGATTTTCTCACTATTACGGTCTCAGAAGGAAACTAAGTGTCTGAACAGTTCTTAAAGATCAGACTGAGAGATGATCATGCGCGCTGAATGGTTGAACTAGCTACAACCCAGTCTCTTCGACAACTTCTGAACTGATGAAAATGTCAAGTCGTGCAACTTGTTCTACAACATTAATTAAACTCATTTTAGATTGAATTATTTAAATCATCAATATTGTCTGTCTCATCCGTACACCGGTAAGATATATAGCTAATATTTTTGGTTTGAATTTTACACCATATCACAAATGGTTTTTAAAGGCGAGTTATTATCAAGTATGCACAGACAGAAGATAAGAATAAAGAACATTTAATTAACAATAAAGGCAATACTGTTTTGGTGTTCTGACATTCAATAAAAGAGAATTGATACATTATCTAGGTGAGCTTAGGACGGAAACTGATGTATTAATTTGAATCGCAGACCTTTTAGTAAACCGAAAACTTCTGAACATAACAATTTGTTCGTTAACGTATACGTTGAGTTGCCTCAGTACGTAGGGCATGGAGTTGCCCGCGGTGCCACGGTCTGGTCCGATTTCTCTCTGGCCTTCCGCAACTTCAGAATACCCGGCCACTTTATTTACATGTGNGAGGGAGCAACTTCAGAATACCTGGCCACTTTATTTACATGTGTCGGTGTGCTTTCAAGAACGAGGTATATAACAATAGTTGCTATTCTTATTCAATGAGATGCTAATAAGTGGCCGGGTGTTCTGGAGTTTAGCCGCCTTCCATGGGTCGGTTAGACCTGGCCTGAAATTTCAGTCCTCTCTCTCCCTCAGCCTAATCCCGGGCGAGAGTGTCTCACCCAGGGATCAGGCTGAAGGCGGCGCGGGAGATGACTGACTTATCAGGCTAGGTCCGAGACCGAGAGAACCAACCAAAATTGCCGACGGCTTATGTAACTAAGATTTAGCAAAATTATGAACAGTCATAAGCGATTTAAAAAGACATGTTTTCAGTCGTTTTTTTTAAAAATGTCCACAGACGAGCTTGATCGTATGGCCAAGGGCAAATTGTTCCATAAAAATGGAACCGAACGAGAAAAGGCGCGGTCACCAAGTGTAGTGCATTTCGCTCAGTTAGTACGGATAGGAGGGCTTGAACACAGGAACAAAGTGAAAATCTCAGATTAGGCTTGTGGCAGAGATTAGGCTTCTGATGATACCTCATTGCACGCAGTTAAGCTGATCGTGAAGGGCTTTGGTCCTGAACCAGAGTGTAGTGATCCACCATGCAGGCAAAAATGAGTCCATGGCAAAGTGTCCGAGTGGAAAACAAAAAAGTATCGTTGTAATTTGACGAGAAGAGCTCAAAGTAAAAGGAACAGCTTGATGAAATTATTATTTAAAAATTTATAAAAAACGTTCACGGGCTATAT